GACTGAGAGCAGAAATGCTTCACTTGTCTGCTTCTGTAGGTCAGTGAGCAGGAAACACAGAGAAACATGTCCTACCACTGAACATTTCTCATTTGCCTTTGCCTTCAAACATGCAAAACAACATGCTCATCTGACACCCATGACACAAAGACCTTTCATAGCATGACTCACAATCAAAAAGAAATGTCACTAGAAAGATTCACAAGCTCAGTGACTTCAGCTGCTAGTTTGTGGATGACTGTGGGTACATCCCAAGTCTCTTTTATGCACCAACATTTCCTTCCCTTATGTATTCTTGTGTTTTAGTCCCTCCCACATAATGAAGATTTTAATCTGAAGTTCAGGAGAGGGACCACGTCCAACCATATGCTGCTTCAGTTCCTCATTACATTTAAACCACCCGTTCAAACTAGTCTTCTGCTTCCGCTTTTTCGCTGTCTTGTTTGCCCCTCTGATGCTGCGTCATTTTCTGCTTCGAGGCTGAATCATCTTCCCTGTTTTTTGGGGGTTTGTGCCTGCTGGTCCCTCTCTACCATCTGCAGGGCCTTGCCCATTTGCCACACCACCGGCGGCCCCACCCCTCCTTGGCAGGCTGCGGCTGCCTTGTCAGCTTCCCTCACTCTTCAGTTCCATGAGGACTCCTCCTGCCTCTTTGCCTATAAAGATCCTATCACCAATTACAGCTTCTCATCACATCCCCCTGCATTTCCCCACTGTCACCAGGTGTATGTTCAAGGGGGATTTGTTGGGTTTTCCTTTAATAGTGTAATGTCTAGACCTGATTAAAGTGCCCTGAGACACAGCTGTTGAGAATTGGTCCTATGTGATAAATAGAAGGTTTCGGGGGTCCACCAGTGTCCAAGAGCGGGACAGACTTCCAAAGCCTTTTACCCCAAACCACAGTCCTCAATCATTACAACATTCATTTGACATTCATCCTTTCCTGAGGGCAGGGTCCCTGCTAATGAAATGGAGATTTTAATCTGAAGTTCAGGAGAGGGACCACACCCGAACACATGCCGCTTCCATTTCACATTACATTTAATTCACCCATTCAAACTAGTCTTCTGCTTCTGTTTTGTGTAAAGGTATGAGTAGAAAATGCAAGGAGAGAGGGATGGAGGGCATGTCAGGGCCGCTCGGCGCAACCTGCCTCTCTTCCGCCTTTCTCTCCTCTGTTCTCTTGACCTGCGGGATCTGCACCTCAGCTGTGTTGCATTCGTAATTAGCGATTCGCTTGTCGGTGCACACAGCTGGGGTGCATCCCGCTAATTGACTCCCTCCTTATTTATACCTCTGGCAGACGCTCCGCCGGAGCAAAGTACGTGACTTAACGTGCATTAACATTACTTACATTAACGACTGTAACGTGCATACCCCGCAACAGCCCTTTTTTTGTGGTATGTATATACGTATTTTAGATTTCCACGCTGACAGTGACTGTGCTGTGGATTTCTCTTATCACGTTGGTCTTTTGTGTTTTCACTGTTTTGTTATTTGATTTCCACGCTGACAGTTCCTGTGCGTGGTTTTCTTTTGTTTTCTTTCCACCTGTCTGTCTACATCCTGCTGCTCTCCTGGTTTCAGCCATTTCTGCCCTACTCTGGTTTAGTATTCTAGTATCCTCGATCCTCAGATATAAGAGTCTTGGGATATCCTTGATCCCCACTTGACCAGAACAACTTTCAGGTTAAGTGAGTATCAAGGAGCAAGGAATGATCATATAGGAAACAGTGATGCAGCCACTATCCATTACCTATACCACTTACTCCTGAATAGGGTCACCGGGGGGCTGGAGCCTATCCCAGCTGACATGGGGTGATGGGCGGGGTACACACTGGACAGGCTGCCAGTCTATCACAGGGCTAACACATAGAGACAAACAACCACACACCCTCACATTCACTCCTAATTTAGAGTCACCAATCAACCTAAGTCTTTGGACTGTGGGAGGAAACCAGAGTACCCAGAGAAAACCCACGCAGTCACAGGGAGAATATGCAAACTCCACATAGAAAGGTCCCAGATCGACCAGGGCTTGAACCCGAAGCCTTCTTGCTGTGAGGCTAAGCACCATGTTGCTGTGCTGCTCTCACTATCACTACAGCAAATGAAATACACATTCTGGTTGCATATACTACATACAGCATACAACACAACACACACTGGTAAAACATTTTTCTAATATTACATACAGCTCAGTGCAGAGCATATGAAATATAGAATCATCCTGTTAAGGTCAGTATGCACAGGGACATAAGCTGAATTAATCCAAAATGAAATTTTTACACATTTTTTAGTTTTTAATGTATTGTGTAAAACAGCTGAAAACCAGTTTTACTTAATTATGCCACCCCACCCCCACCCCACCCCCCAAGGCTGCAACTAACGTTTTTTTTTCTTCACTATTGATTAATCTGCAGATATGTTCTCAATTAATAAAACCAATTAACTGTTTAATCTAAAAAAAAAAAGGAAATATTGGTGAAAAATGTCACAATTGCAATGTTTTAAAGGTAGTGGTGTAAAATACAAACATATCCAGTTAAATCATGATGTCTTCATTATGTACACTATACTGGGCAAAGTGTTAAAAGCAAAATCATATCTTAAGGCAATAATGCAAAGAAATAAATGAGCTAAATTAACCCAAATAAGATAAAACTGAACTTTGAAGCCAAAATATTTCAGTGAATCTAAAAGTCAAACTGTGTAAAACAGCTGCCAACCATGTCATTGCAGTCATATAATGACCATATTCTAGATGTTTGCCTTCACTTGCATTCAGTAGCAGAACTGCACAGTATTAGGGATACTTCCAAATCTCATGAGGCTTTCATGCCTCATTAGGGAGCTTATAAAATGGTTTGATTTGAAACTGCTGAAATGTGAATAGTGCAAACATGGAAGGTGTTAGGACATTGTCTGTTCGGGGAAGTGTCATGCTTTTAATCGATAGTTTGCTTAAAAGAGAGATTCCTGCCGAGATTTAAAGAAAATATTAATTAATTATGCATTCCGAACACAAGAAAGGGCCAAAGTGAAAGGAGCTAGGCAACCTGTTCTCTCCTAAAGGCAGCCAAACTAAGAGTAATGAATCATGTAAAAGAGCCAGAAGAGCTGTTTGCACTGTGGGAATATTACTATTTTGCTGTCACAAGTGGAGGCTTGTAAGTTGATATCACGCTGCAATTTGAATACAATGTCATGATGAAGTGTGGACTTTGGTCGTAAGGAGGCAGCAGCGCACTCATCTCCTGCTCTTCATTGCGCTCCGAGCCCCGCGCCACCTCCGCAGGGCACACTCACCTAACTTTTGCGGCGACGGATGATAACGCATCACTCTTGATAGTCTTCCTTTTGGACACCGCAGTTCCCATGCTGAAGTGGAAACGACCCAGGGGAGAAAAGGCAGATCATTCCACAGACTGATGGGCGACGGAAACAAGCAAAAGAAAAAAAAGACTAAAAGAGGAAATAAAGAATGGTCCGTCTCCAGCGATCACGACTATGATTTCATAGTTGTCATTCTCAGTTTTAGGGATAAAACATTGCGGCTCCAGCAAGCTACAGGCTGAGCGTGGCGCGCCGCAGCCTCTGTGGAGTGGAGGACAGTCGGATGGTGGTGCGCTGCTTCCTCCTCGCCTCAGCCAAATGAAGCTCCCAGGAAGGAAGCGGAGACCATAAAAGGAAGACCAATCTCCCGCCCCCTGCACTGGCCGGACAGGTGCGGGCTGGGCAACAGCAGGAGAAGATGAACACGCACGATGTACACTGAGATATGAGGAGGTGTGGACACTTGGGTCCAGAAGTAATCACAGATCTTATTACCAGTTATCAAGTAAAACTGTGGTAGGACATTCCTTTGGATGATGTGGCTCTAGTAAATAAATGTCTAGGTAACATTTTACTTGAAAGTTGGAATCCTTATGATTTTCATGAAATCACAGTTTACTATTTATGCCAGGCTTTCTTTTTTGCAATACTCATTCAATGTATTTACATTCTGTAATTATCTTTATGGACTGACGTTTTTTATTGTCAAGCAACAGATATTAGTTTCAAAACTGAAGCACCACCTGATGACCCTGTAGACCTGCTTTCACTCCTACACCCACACAGAATCTGTACTGGTGTTGGTGATAATAGTTATTGACTCATTGGGGCTGTTAGTAGTTTAATCTTCTTTTATTAGACACTCTTGGTAGAACAGTGTCAATAGTTGGACACCTGAGTGGACCCAGCTCTCAGAGGTGATTGCTGTTACAAGCTAGTTGGACCAGCCACTGCTTAACCAAAAATGGAAGTTGAAAGGAAGATATTGCTTTACACTGTGTCAGGGATGATTAAGACCTTGTCTGCCTTTGACTTTTTGTAATCCTCCATATATACAAAGTACGTAAGCAAGTATGTGAACAATGACACCAGTGTCACATACTGTAGGTAAAAAGCATGAATATCTGTGGCCTTAGAGGCAGATCTCACCATCCCTGCACTAGATTCAGAATGCCTTTCTAAGCTTGAGGGATTCACAGGAAACTATGCAGCATGTAATTTTATCTGGTTGATGTCAGTCTGAGCGATCTCTCTCTTTTCTGCACCATATCAGCACTGTATTAAATTAATGCCAGTGCAAACATAACATTTCTATTGCTGCTGATTCATATTCAGAGTAACACTGGGTGGTTTCTATTGTGAAGCAGGCACAGGAAACAATGCAGATATCACAGAGATTAGTGCTAACCTACTGTTCATCAGAAATGCATCTACAAAATGATCATTTTCTGCATATTTTTGTCATTTTTAATTTGTTCCCTATTTCTGGGAAGCATCACAGCTGCCATGTGAGAAAGACACCATCGTTGTATTAACACTGTCAGTTTTTCAGCCAGTCACTGTGGAGCCACCAACTGTGCCATTATTGCATAAAGTAAGTTTTTCCCCCAACTTTCTGGCCCTCCATACAGTATCTTCAGAATGTCAGTCAATCAGATGTTACCATCTCTTCCACTGTGCTTTACTTTCTGGCCCTCCATACAGTATCTTCAGCATGTCAGTCAATCAGATGTTACCATCTGTGCTTTAAGAGGCAGTTCACTCATGTCTCATAGAAAATAGTTAGCCTTCTTTTGTGTTCATGTGGTCTTCACTGTTAAAGGTTTTTGCAGGACTATAACAAACTCATGCTACTTCTTCCTTTTCTACTGAAACACAAAAACATCATTTACCTGACAACAAACATTGTTAGGCATTTCAAAAAAACTAGTTTCTGTTGTTTTTCTCATGAGAAACATGTGGTCATATATGCATGTTTTAGATTAATGGGTCAACACTGTTCAAGGAGGGATATATTCATTTTATTTGTATCAAGGGTTTGGAACACCTTGCACCTGCACATTAAAGTGCCATGTTTTATTTGAGTACAAATCACTAAAGTGCAGTGCTGAAAAATTGAGCTTTGTTTGTCAGACGTCCAGTCACAGCAGCAGGCATATCATATTTAATAATGGTGCAGCCAGAAAGCAAACAAGATATGAATTCAGACCCAAACTTGGAAAATCGTTTGGAGAGAGAGGTTCTGCACCTCTGTAAATAATGTGAATGCTGACTGATGAGCACATATTTGCAGTTGGATTTCACAGTTGTCAGTTGCAGTACATGCTCAGGACACGAAATCTGGCAGGCAACCTGACCTCCACAAAACTGGGTCACCTCACCCCCTCCCTGCATGGATGTATGCATGCATACAAGAAAACACAACCCTCACTCCCTATCTGTCGTTCCAGCCTTGTCTGCTCCACCTTTTTCATCTTTGTTCTTTCCTCATCCCACCTCTCCCCCTCCTGAGGCAAGTAGAGCACATTAACAAATTGACTGTGTAAATATTTAAGCAGCCATCTTTTTTTTTTGTTGCAAGTGTGTGCCTATCCACAGTGACAGTTCTTCACTACCCAGGTGCACACAATCACATCTGTAGGTATGTCATATACCATACAGTATCTGCCAGGCTAGTATAGGCATGTGCCTTAAGCAAAGTAAATTCAGTAGAAATAGTGAAGGACTTAGCTTGGATGATTTCAGAAAAAGCCAAAATTACAAAACTCTGCAGAAACATTGGCATTATATGCATGTGTATATACCAGCAAGAACCAGCTCTAATCTGAGGAATGTGACCACACAATCCATGTCCAGTACATGCAGTCCGAATAGACAAGGAAAGGCATCTGTGATCCGTAGGATCCTAATACGTGTCATTCATGATTTAGCAGTGGAATGCTTTTTCTGTTGTTGTTTTTTTGTTATGTACAATAAAATACTGCTGATCAGCTATTAGTGATGTAGTGCATACCACCCATGTGCATGTAGATTATAGAGGCAACTGGAGCATACAGACTAGCACAGCTTTATATAGAACAACACAGATATCTAGGGACAAAGAGAAGAGAAAACAAGGCCAAAGGCACTTCATTGCCTAAAGTTGAACCTCCCAGCTAGGCTGTCAACTGACACACTGCCATTCAAACCCAACCCACTCTACAACCTAAAGTATCTGGTTGGGAGATGTTTCTGCAGTAAACAGCCAGGAGCAAGTCCTGCCTTGAAGACTCAGCTCAGGAGAAAGACTGCAGCCTGAAGCCAGGTGTCATCTGTGTCTTCATGTGGCCTTTACCTGCCACATCTGTGCTGTGAACCTGTATGATACTTCTCACACTAAAATACATTCTAGTGGAATGAATCAAATACTGTACATCATTAGCACAATATGTGAAATTAATCAACATCCATTACAAATCTGAAACCGGGTTTGCCGCCCTACAGTTGTATGCCTCCACCAACCAGTCAGGTTGCAGGTTGCATGCATGTCTATCCAGCCTCATATAATGTACAGTATATAGTGAAGACTGTGAAGGGATGTGCCAAATTTGACGAATCAATCATTAACAAGAATTGGATGTGGTTAGGTTATTTATGGGAAGGGTTGTTGAGTACATGAGATATAAATATGGTAATATGTATAATGTGAATATTATATATAAAATCATTTGTCTGTGTGGATTATATTCAATGCCAACATCACCTCAGACAGAATATGTAGTGTATATATGATGACATCAGTTCAGTATAAATTACATATTAATGTATTAACGGTTTCATGTAAGTTGGTCTAAAGTATTAAATAAGCTCTAGGTCTCTAGGGTGGAAAACACAAATAAAGAGAATTGTATAAAAAAGAAAATACTATGGGAAACATATTTTGAGCTATAACACATACCTTTTTAGTATTTGTGATGTAGACCTAAAGTATGCATTGTAATTTGTATAGTGAAGGAAAAATATAGGGTTAACATACCGTATATATTGGACCATAAAAAGTGATTGTGACAGCCAAACGCTAAGTGAAAGAATCATATTCATAGCATCCGCTCCTCAGTACAGCCATAACAGAGATTGTCTGTAATGTGGAGGTGTCAGACACAGATGAATATTAACCTGGGTAATCATGCCACAATCACTGGGGTTACGAAATACCGTTGCAACCAGGATGTTTCTTGACACATCTTCCAATGCTCCAATGACGTTCCTGGGGCCACTGGGTATTTTGGGTCTTTCAACAACAGACACCCTCACCCAGGTGGCCCAGTAGAGGCTGATCAGACCCCAGTTTGTGTCTGAGTAGCAAACCACAGGTCATCCCTCTGTATCCAGAACAGTGGTGAGGTCTGTTCAGCTGCCTCTGCTATTGTCTTGATGACTGTTCTACAGTGGGCTCAATACCAGGGACTAGGTTTCATCTAAAGAAATTATGTTGATAGTGATGATGAGGACGAGGACATAGGAGCTAAGTGAAGTTGAATAAAGTAAAATTTGAAAAAATAAAGTCATAACTGCCATAAAATATTCTAATGAAAAGCTCAGTCGCCTTAGGGGTGCCAAGTGGAACATCCTGCCTGTGGATGTTCAGACACAGCCCTGTTTACATTTGTTTGTTGTGTTGCTGATTACAAATAAGTTGAAATTCATGAAGTATGTTTACAGTTTCATTTTTAAAATATGCTGCAACCTTTGAGCTTCAGTATTAATCATTATGTATAAATGCAAACGTGTTTTATTCATATATGCAGTACTACAGGGTAAAGCTGAGCATATATTGGACAGGAAGTGAAGAACATAATACCCTGGAGAGCTTGCCAATGCATCACAGGGTAATAAACTAATATATATGCTTTAGTAGCCAAAAGAAAAATGACTAAATCATATCATATTTGAAAACTGTTCATCATAAAAATGACTGATAACAGTAGCCTCACACTGTATCAACACATTGCATGTTTTTTCGGGTCCTGTCCCTTCGTGTGCCATGACCAGGCTGGAAGGAACCTGAGACAATTGCAGCACAGAGTGACAGCATGGTTCATGTGACAGTTATGGGATCATGTTAGGGGCTTCACAGTTCGCCATGATAAGATGACATGGCATGGTGAGATTTATGAAATGTTAAGCCTGCAATATTCCATCCATTAGACAATTAGAATCCCAAATAATCTTGTGTCATTCACTTGGACAGCAAAGACAAAGCATAAAGACTAATAGTCTACAACCATTCTAACAGCTCTGTGAGGCTGTACTTAGTGTATTTTCAGCTGCTAAGGAAGCTAGTGAGATTCAAAACACACACCTTCTGTTTTTTGGTTATTGCTGTTGTCACACAAAGCACTAATGTTACACATGGCTTGAATTACTCCCAGACGCCTCGATCTTCTGCACCCACAGTGCATCG